ACACCTCTATCAACCCTTCCCCGCGTGCAATTATCCGAGTGGAGATGTAACTAGCCGGCTTGAGTCAAAAGCTGGTATTTATAGCTAGATAAAGCAAGCTAGATAAAGCAGACTAGATAAGATCTTCTTCGCGTTATTAACTCGTTACTGATTATTTACTGAAATATGGAATCGGTTTTCTCGTGATCCCGCCGTTGTCTAATCATTATATATCAAATGTGATAAAGTGACGCTGTTTATTTCTACTAGGATATTTTTTGGAATCTGATACAATCTGTTACTTTCTGAAGTGCAATCAGTGAAATGCTTCATGATCAAGTACAATCAATAAGTAAGTTGTAGAAAAGCCTCAGTTATAAAATAGTATCGCAATAAAATCAAAATATGCAAACAGATTTGCGCTATTTGAAAAATTTCCCAATAGCTTTACGAAAGTCTCTGAGCGACCGAATATTCCATTCGTCCATTCGTTAGAAAGATTCTATCAAATAATTAAATCTGTCACGTAATGATTCAGTGATTATTCGTCGATTTCAATAAAAAAATATCGAAATCTAAAATTACTAAAATTACAACCGATTCGACGTTTATTTCTTATATCTTGTATTTTGTAATTGGCTTTACCTCTAGAGATAAGGTAGTCATAGCAAGTAGGTTGTCCGGCTGTGACAGAAAAAATATCTAAAGAAAAAATATTTATTCATGGCACAAATAACTTATGTTTTATCCATTTTATTTAAGTAGAAAAATTTAGATTTAAATAAAAATGCAACAAATACAGCGAATAAATAATTTTTATTTTTTAGATTATTTTTTCTCTCAATATATACTGCTTATTTCTCTTTTGTATCTATTCAATTTTTTTAGTTTACTTCTCTCTACTTTTCCTGTCTTGTAACAAAAAATATTATTATTATTATGGTATCATTTTGAATATAAAATATGAAATACGTAACCCGTATTGCGCGGAATACGGGCGTCGAAGTCCAGCTGTTCGCAAACACGTGTCGGATATTTAAACATAAGTGATCGCTATTTATTACTTATGATCAATAAAATTACGTAAATTGCGTCGTTTGGTGCGTCGTTTCGAAGGCTAACCGGAATCTTGAATTGCCTACGACGAGAAATCCGATGTGTATGTGTATGCATGTGACGCACGTCACATGTGTATGTCACGCGTCTATTTTTACGATACGCCGTTTGACGTTTTGACGCACGTGATACAACGCGTGCGCGGTTGCAAACTCGGCATCGGCATCGCGAATCACGCCGAGATTTCTCGCCCGCGTACGAAAAACACACATCCCGCAGCACGCAGCCTGTAACCCGACCTCTCATAAAACAGTTTCGCGGCGCGGCGATTGTTGAAACATGATTTCAAGCGAGATTTTAAGTTGCAACGGAGCGAGCATCGTGTTTCTCTCGTCCAGAACGAGACATTGAAATATAACTCACGATACCGGCCGTCGGGTTTCAACGGCGCGAACGAACGCGCGCGTCCCGCGTCGCTTTACGGGGGCACGAATGCGTTAAAATGACAAATTTCATAGCCGTGAAGGCCGCAATTCTCTCTCGCCGCCGCTAAAAGCGCCGCTTCACCTACCCGGCCCGAGTGTATTAGCGCGAAATAAAATTTCGCCCGGCGTAAGTTCAACATTCAACGTGGTAAACGAGATTATGTATCGCGATTATTCCACTCGCCGCCGTCCACTGTGATCCATGGCCAAAGCTCGCCGTTTATTCGCAATCGCGACAACTGTCAACGGATACTTCAAGTTGAAATTTTGAGCTTCACTATTCCATTCAATACCTATTTTAATATTCTGAACCCTATAATATAATCTATTTTGACGCTAAAGAAAGTGAAAAGGGAAATTTCGAACATCAGCAAAGTCAAAGTAGGGATAAATTATATCACTAGAATTAAACCTACTTTGCTAACTTAGCTGATATTGCGTTGTAGAATACAAGATTTAACATAAGACCAAAATTTCGACTCGAGCCGCCAGGGCTTTTCATCACGTGGCAAGCTGCGCCAACCCGAGCCAAAATCTTAGCTGTACTTTGTAAACCTGAACTCTCTAACATCTATATATTCTGAAAAGCATCAGTATATATGCACAATACACAGAGAAACTAAAATCTTACTTAGCGCCTCTAAGGACTGGTTCCAATCTCTTGGTAAGCTACCTGACAGTTAAATCATATATATATCTTTGTTCAATTTCAAGAAAAAATAAAGACAGACATATGATTTAGCTATAAGGTAGCTTACCAAGAGGTTAGAACAATCGGTCCTAAATGAGAACGCACAAAATGTCATTTCTGTAGAGACTTCTTGTATCTAGACTTCACTATCTTATTTTTGAAGAGAACAATCTCTCTACTGCCTCTCATAAAAGTTAATAGGTTAAACGGAATCAAAACAGATTAATATTTTAAGGGTTTCAGAGTACCAAAATAGACAGAAAAAATATTTAGATATTATTTAGATTAAAATATATAGATTTAAATATTTAGATTATTAAATATTCAGATAAAAAAATCAAAATTTCGGAAAGAGAGAGTCAGCACCGCACTTTCAAGAACGAAGAGAACACGAGGACGAAAGCAAAAGAGAGAGAGAAAGAAAGAGCAGGGAAAAAGAGAGATACTTCCTGTTAAAGATTAGATAAACTTTTAACGGAAAGCAAACTCCCCAAGATCATAACGTTAGCCACAGAGGCGACCCTGAAAAGGGCTCGATCCCAGAGGACCCTCGCGCGCGCGTACAGAATGGCGCCGTGTAAATAATGATACACAACGTGCTGCCGATCGCGCGGCTTCCGATACGATAAATTGGGGAACTCCATTATCGTCCTCGAACGACTCGAGTGTGATTCGAAAGAACAACGGAGTTACTACGATCAAGAGTCTCCAAGGGAATCTCACCGTCTTCTTTCGAGACCAGGAGAGGAGAGTTCTCTCCTCTGTATTCTTTCTCTTTCCCATCTCCTCCTCTCAATTCCTCTTTCTCGTTATATTCTTATCTCTCATCCCGGCATCTAGTGAAGATCTCTTGTTGTGATCGTCGACGTCGACGAAATTTCACCTCCTGCACGGCAAACAAGCAACTACGTGGCGGATCGCGGCGCCTCCGTCGTGTTTCCCGCGCGGAACGATTTTTGCCCCATTTAACTCTGATTATGAGTCGTCTCGCATTACACGAGTTTCAACCCGCGATGGTGGTTTAAGGGCGGTAGCAATCGCTGTCGGAAATCTATGGCACTCGCCGCCGGGATATCTCTCCTCGTGGTGCGCACACGTGCGGAGGTTAAAGACCTACCGGAGATTCCTATTCTTAGTGCATCCCCTATCCTCCTCCTCCCTCTCGCCCCCCTCTCGCCTCTAAAAACCTATCTTTGTTTCACACTGCAATTTATCTAATACACTTTCGGAAATGAAAAGAAGTCTCAACTCGATGAGATCGTTGCTGAGAAAGACGAGGAGCACCGATCAAAGATGGGAAATGTTGATTTCAGCCACCACCGAGAGCACTTTTCGCCCTCGTTGTTTGTCATTCCAATGTTCTCGCCGTTATCACGAAACAGGAGACGGCTCGGTAACCCTAACTCGCGCTCTAAGCGCGGAGTTCTGATATGTATATATTTCGGCTGCTCAGCAAAATGCATGTTTTTCCACCTGTCCTGGAGATCCGCTCGATTTCAATGCGAGACGCAGAGGTGTTTATCGATACCTCTGCGTGTCTCCCGACGATATAAACGACACGTACGAGGCGATCGCGCGTGATCATATTTAGTCAACTACGCGATACGAAGCAGAAGAGCTCGACCATTTCGGATTTCGCCCTGTCTACCTATATTACGTCGATAGTAAGATCACATTTCTATTCCGGATGTCCAAGGGTTAAATTTACCTCGTCTCTCTGCGCCCAAAACCCGAGTTCTCATCCTGACAGCGCCGTATAACCCCGAGTCGAAATTTTAGTTATATATTAATCCTGCAAATTCCGTCGAACTTGGAAGACCAATGAAGAATCTCGAGATATAACATTGCACAAACTATTGACTTACCTTGTTGAGTCTTCAAGAAAAAGACTCATTTCAGAATTATTTATTTGCAATTATCTCAATATATCACCTGCATTTAATCTCTATTCGTCATTTCAGTCAACAATGTATCAATATATTGTGTGTGTGTGTGTTATCAATTATATATTTATTTGTGTCTCGATATTCTATCTGCACTTAATCTTAATTTTAGTCAGTAGTGTATCGATTATATAACTTGTTCAAGTGCAGGTAGAATATGTAAGATATGCAAGAAGATAATAAATAATTCAATAATGATAAAAGTTGTAGATAGAAAAGAAGCAACACATTTTTATTCTCATAATCTCCTTTTGTTTTTTCTGACGTTGGAAATGGAGCTTAAAGATCTTAAAAGAGCTAATAAGAAGCTGCGAAGGTAACAGTTATCCAATAATACTAATAATGTGTTGTGCGTTTACCAACAGAGAGTTAAATTTAGATCCCGTATAATAATAAGACTGAATAGAAATGTGAAAATGACGTCAAATATAAATTAAACATTAAATCGAACTCAAGATCCAAAGAGCATTATTGGACGTAAAAATTAGCACTTGCGATATTTACATTAGACTCTAAGGCCGGCATTCATAATTGTAAATTATTTACGACCTCCCACTGAAAGCATAATTAATTGCAAGTTTGTATTTATAGACGGTTATTTACCATTTGAGTGAGTATTTCTTGTCGTATGGAATAACGTGATAAGTATTGGTTACAGAGATTGACAAATGATCGGACAGATTGACAAATGATTAGAGAGATTTATAAAGCTACAATTAATTATCAAATGATAACAGTCGTCAAATGACTATGAATGTCGGCCTAAATTTCGACTCGGGTATCTCTTCGTTAACGTAACGTCCGTTTAAAACGGAAACTGTCTGTTCAGTAAACGTGTTAACGTACCTTGAAACATATGATGTATCGCGACCAGGCGCCCTGCGTCCTCCGCCGTAGTTTCTCGGCCTTGGCATCCTGACTGCTCCACGTCGTGGCACTGACACTGACACTCGCGAGTAAGTATGACTCGATCGAAGAAACACGTGTTAAGTGACGTGAGGCCGCGACGAACAGTCTCCGATTAAATATTTTCAGAGCCAACGGAATATATTAATCACCGAGGGGAACGATAAATAACACACTGACGCACATTAGTTCGCGCGCTGTATGAGTACCGCTCGCCGGCCCGGAATTGAATGGGAACACTCGGAAAAGCGCGTGACGCACAAAGGTAACTTGACCGCCTCGAAGGTCCGCGATGTTTTGATTGTGTTATCACTCGGCGCTCAGCGCCGTACGACGACGGTTGACGATTGATGGGAGGGTGAATGTTTACATTTCTTGCCCGCTGTTTTGGTACTCGCACGCGTCGTGTATTTTCCCGTGACCAAGTGTTACGTTACATTTCACACGCGAAATATTTCGTCGGCTCTTGAAATATTTAATCATTAAACTCACTCAGCGACGTCGCGTTAATTAACACGTGTTTCCCTTTCTCTCTTTTTTTCCGATCTGATCTACACGAGTGTCAGCGCTACCGGAATGCCGTGACGGTGCAGTCTATTGCAAGATGCTGTATTGGAAAGCCAAGACGCAGGACGCGGGTTGTTATACACCATATATTTATAGATGTATAGAAATGTATATTTTATATTAAGATACATTTCATATTGAACACATAAAAATATTCAACGTCAATGAAAGAATACAATAAAGAAATCAGGAATAAAGGAACAAAATTTGTTGTTTCATTTTCCAAATAATCCCATTATTTGTTCATATTAATTAATATTTGCTTATCACATACATTTCACACACGATTCAGTGAATTGCAGAATGAACGCATTGTTTATCAAAATTAAGAATAAAAATTAAATGTGGATAGAATATTAAAATATTCTCTCTGAAGTAAATTCTTCTTTTAAGGACAATTCAACATGATTAACCTTTAGAGGGCCGGAAAAGGACCACTATAGTGGTAGTAGACAGCAGTTAAATATACATTGCATTCATGTTCTACACTTATCTACTTATGTGTGTATAAGTATTCACACATCCAGATACAAGTTTGCACCCATTGTCCTCCCCCATCTCTCTTCCTTTCCCCCATTTGCTATTTTTTTCTTATATAACTATATAACGATATAACTATAAATTATCATAATTTACAAAAACTGACAATTCCATCTTGTTCAGCAACCTCGAAAACTTCTAGAAACCTATTTTTTTCAAATTTTTTTCAAAATTTTAACATTGTCTTTACCCCCCAAAGCCGGGACCACCACTTATGTGGTGATTTCCGTGATCGGTAATTTGTATATGATCAATATACGATATAAGGTACATTTTTTATCGATTTTCTTCGTGGAATCTGGTACTTCAAATAGCGGCCCTCTAAAGGTTAAAAAGGGCGTTAAGTAATCATTCGTAGCATTCTCTAAATTTCTTGAAGTGGAATTTCACTTAAAACGAGTGGAAAACGGCAGTATTTTCGCTCAAAATAATAGTAAAAATATCACCACTCGAAATTGTAAGAGTAAAATATTCCACTCAAGCTTAGATTGGATTCTAACTCCATATAAGCGAACGTTTCAGTCGATTGCAGTGAACATGTTCCTGCAACGCGCGATGGAGCACATCAAGTTCACTCTTCAAAATTTCGTGTGAAAATAATTACTCGACGATTAAGAGTGAAAATCACTCGAATTTAAGTGACTCGTTGATCACTCCACTTTTCGAGTGAAATTTCACTGCTAGAAATTCGGGGAGCACCAAAAGGATAGGAAAATAGCCTGTACAATGTTATATTTCGAGATTTCCTGTTAATCACTCAAGTTCGACGGGGCTCTATAGAATTAACTATAGGAATCAAAATTTCGCCTTGTTCGTTCCCGCGCAAAAGAAGAGCGACCTCACGAACGGAACGGCCGTGAAGACGCGAGTTTCGCGCGAGTTTGCGGAAGTCTCTGGACCCCGGCCAGCTGATGGCGAATACCTTGACATCCACGCTCGCGTCGACTTAGATCGCACTTCGATTATCCTTGCATGCTCTTTCCTCCCTCTCGTCGCGATGACCGCGCGCGCGTTTTGGAACGGCATCAGGATTTCCATATTCCGTCCACTACTTCTAAAACGCGCGCCCTCAAGTCTACTACCCCCGCCTACCCACCCTTTCACTGTTCCTTTATCCCCGCGATTCTTGTACGCGCTCTCTTGTTTCCGCGCCGTTCTCGCGCGCGCGCCCGTTAAATCACGGACGTTACACTTGGCGTAGATCGGAGGAAATGCAGAGACTCACCAAGATTAGATTACGTTGCCTTCGTGGCTCCGTCGGCGATTTACGAAAATGTTCACTCACCTGCAACAGAAAGAGAAGGACACTTAGCGTTAACGTAACGAAGAGCACTTTGGTATTCATTCGATCCACTGCGTTATCGTCGCGATTACTCGCGATGCAACACCGTACGCGTTATTGCGTTTCCTATCTTTCGCCTTTATCCTGTTGCCCCTTCCACTCTTTCACCTCTCTCTTTCCCTCTCGCGATCATCTTATTTGCGCCTCATCATTCTTGTAACACGTAGTAACTGCGCACCAAGTTTTTCGTATCGCGTCGGAGCGAGAGATTTCTGCAGCGGCGAAGAGAAATAAGAAAGAAAAGAAGAGACAAACGATACTTTCTTACTTCGGGAAGGGGAGAAACGCAAGAAGAATTGATGAATGGAAAGACGAAAAGGAGGAGGGGGAAATGGAGGAAGTGCAGAAAGAAGAAGCAGTGAGAAACCAAATTCATTTATTCGCTCATGCGTTCAGTAATCTCATAACGTCCGCAATTCTTTGCTGGACGCGCGCAGATTTTTATCTCAATATCTCGCGTTAATCACACGAAGATAATATTGTAATAAAAGTTACAATACAACTTTAGTATGCCGGGAATAGATTGGCACTATGATGAAAATTATAAGACTATATATAAAATTATAATAAGAATAACATAGTAAAAGTGATTATGAACATAGTAAAAATTACTATAAATGTAGTAAAAATTTATGGTCATTTTTACTGTTTTATTAATTTTCGTAATAATGCCAATCTATTCCCGGCATACTAAAATTGTATTGTAATTTTTACTACGATATTTTCTCCGTGCAAATCACAACAAGTTTAGAAGCTCGTGAGAAGAAATCATCAGCGGTGGCAAAATTAGGAGATAAACGTTGAAGAGCGAAGGAGCTCATGGATCTGTATGTGTGTGTGTGTGTATATTTGTATGCGCGCGGAGCTTTCTAAATATTATTAGTTGCGTCACCGACGAACGAGCTCTCTCGCAGTTGTCAGTAGTTCAAGAGGGAACACCACGGCGAAGATAAAAAAGAAAAAATATCTTTAGGAATTGTCTTTTTTTAAACAACAATACATTTTCTTAATGGTTATTTTACATGTATTTAGTACATGTTTTAAGAAGACTTTCATGTTGCTGTTTATTTGAAACACATGTTTTATAACGAACTAGATTCTATAAGATTTTTATCGAGAAGTGCGGTTACAATGCCCAGATAATTGCTTCTGAACATGAAGTTAATGATGTAAATATTTTTAGAAACTACATGAAAGTGTGACTTTTGTTTGTAGGTAGGTAGGGGTTTCGAGAAAAGTTTTGTTTACACAAAACGGCAGATTTTATAAGAGAAGACCACGGATTTTCGACGGAAGTCGGTCCGTTTTTATGTGTTTCTCGATGAGTTCTCAAAGAAAAAAGAAGAAGTCGTACGTACAAACGAAAAAAATTCGATTACAATGAATTTTCCGCAAGGTAGAAGCCAATCGGGATCAACAGCTTTCTAAATATCTTCCAGGCCAGCTTTAGAAAGATAGTCTCAAGATAGCTTCGACAAGGTTTTACAAACTCTCCTCTAACTTCTTCAATTTTCAAGCAAACTTCAAGCGATTTTCCAAAACCACATAATAGTCCAGAAAATGCGATAAAAAGTCGGTCTTTCGGCATTTCTACCGTGGTATTTCCCCTTAACGTATCTGCGCGAGATGCGCGCGTACTTTAGACCCGGCGCCCGGGTGAGCGAGGTAAACGCGAGCGACCTGAAAGCCGACGCGAGGAGTCATCGCTGAGAGTCGCTTTTGTGCCGCATTCGAGGGCCGGCTGTGTATCGCGTACAATGCGCGAGACACGACCCATATACGAGAAACGCGCAAAACGCACACGAGGTGGGTGGTCGACCGTACTGGGCGACGAGGTTGAGCGCCTCTGCGACCGAACAAATGAATGAGTGTGGGCGAACACGTGACTGGAGAGGCAAGCGCGCCGCTCCGGCATCCTCCCTGGCTCTCTCCCCCCCCCCCCCCCCCC